GACGTGAGCAGCAGGGCAGTGAGCTGGGGAGTGAGGAGGCACTGGGGAAAAGCAAACCTCAGCTGATCTGTCAAAAGACTCCAGCACCTGTCCTTGTAATCGGCTGCGGGCAGAGAAAGCTTTTTGATCTATAGTCCACCAGGAAATTGATCTTTCCTCAGGTGGGAATTTAGACTTTCAGGTCAAAGGAGAAAATAAAGCATATGTATAGCATGAAAAATGTCAGAATCTAGACTACATATAAAGAAATAACAAATCATTTTTTGTTCATTCCAGGCTTACCTACAGGTTGATACTACTTCAAATCAATAAATTTTCATCAAAGCAAGTAATATTTTTAGACTCTTTCCATGTTATTAAATACACATGAGATTGTGAGTCCAGTGCTGCTCACATGGGAATGAGGGAGTAGTTCTGATTGGAGTGGGAGACCTATTTGACTCCTGTTGCCTCCCAGTACCTGCAGCCTTCCCTTGAACAGCATGTGTTTTGTCTCCCACCTTCCTCAGCCAAACTCTTGGAAATTATGGCAGCACAGTTTGTCTCCTATACATTGATCCAGAAGGGGAAAGTTCATTGAAGCAGCGTAGAATTACCTTTATACATGTAGTATTAAAGCTAATTTAGGAAACTACTATACGGAGTAGGTTAGCATTACGTCATGACCCATGTGTCTGTGCTTACTAATGGTAGTTTTTATCAGGCACTGAGATAAAATACATTTTAAAACTCATGTTCACAGCTCGCTTTTCTACCCGTATGCCTGATAAATTTGTATTACATTAGTTTTCCACAATAGGAAATAATGTTAAAACTCTGGGGAAGATATCAAGGAAACTACTTTCAAAATCACATTTTTTGAAAATAAATATAGTTTGTTATGGGAAAAGGGCACCACTGTTTCCCTGAACACTCAGTACACAAGATTATCTGATCGGTAATGTGTTAATATACTGTCAGAGTATCCTCAGATATGAATATTGCCATTTATTAACCACAGACTCCCAGGTGAAGAGTTGAAGCTGGGCACACTTCTAGTACAGAGGAAACAATCCTGCAGCATAATCTCCCTCCTTGTGTTTCCAGTACTATTGGTACCCGGGATTTACCTTGTAACTATCTAGCAAGCTTATGATATTGTTGTCTCAGTGTGCAGACTAAGCTTTAGCCAGCTTGTGCTGTTACCGATGACAAAATCCAGTGCACTTGAAAAGATTAGTAATTTCTTCTAAAAATTTGTTGTTGAATTTCATGGCAATGGTCTTCTTGACAGTGTATTTGCTATTACAGAATTATTTCCTGAAATGGAAAATATGGGAGATAGCCTATTGTCTACACTTTGATATATTGCAAGCGCAGTGTGAAGGAGTTGAGATATTTTGGTGTCTCGTTGATTTTATATGGCCAAGTTTGCTTGAATACTAATTGCCAGAACTTTTCCCTAGAAGTTTTTTCCATCTCTTCACTGGACAGGACATAATGCATAAGATGCAGGTCTTGTCATGCCATTGTCATGCTGTTGACGTGGCATGACTCTCAGCCCAGATTTGCTCAGGTTCAAGATGATCAGGTTAAATAAAGCAAAAGTTCATCCTGATTTTGGTGAGTATCCTCCTCAGTGCTGGACTTCACATCTGTCCTATGCTGAGGTCTTGAGAAATCACTTGGGAAGCAGACAATGACTAATTTGGAGACTTTCAGCTGGGATGTGGTTTAGAAAGCTGTTCATTTCTCTTTCTCAATTGGATTTTATCCTTTCCTGCCGAGAGCCTGGGCTTTTTTTCTGTCCTGCTCAATTGTTGTAGTGGTCCCTGGCCTGCCCTTGGCTCGTGCCAACCTGAATGCTCCCAAGCGGTTTCCCAGTGTGGTTCAGGAGTTGGCACAGGCCATTGCAGTGAGCAGTTTTCATGCAGCCACCCTGTGTTGGAGGGTAATATTTATGGATGCTGTTCTATGCCAGTTGGCATCAGTGCCAGGGACAACCCTGGGCCTATTTAATTTCCTAGTCTAGATGTAGCCCACCAGCTCTACTTACCTCCCTGAGAGAAATCTGTCTCATTTGCTCAATAGCTGTTTCAACCCAATATACAGATACAGAAAAGTGCAAAAAAAAGAGGACTGAGTATTGTCTGCTCAGAAGCCAGGGCAGGCATTTGAACCAAGAACTCCCCAGTTTTCCTGATGGAGGCTACCAGTCATCAGACAATATGCGTTTGCTGAGGCAATTTAATCTCAAACTGCAGTAGTTCAACTTTTTTATGGTGAAATTCGATAGTATATGAGTCAGAGGTACAGGAAGGAGAGTGACGCTCCAGCCTGCTGAGTAGGCATGCTCTTGGGAGAGGAAACTCCTGGGCACTTGTCTATACTTTGATACATGTTCAATAATACGTAGGAGATGAGAGGAGATGGAGCACGTCTGACAGTGTTGAGGTGGTGAGCAATGCAGGTTTGGATTCATGTTGCTGTGGGAAGATGAGGGAATTGCGACTCTGGAGCTCATGTTCTGGTTAAGTACTTTTATGCCACGGCCTCTGGAAAGGATATTTTCAACACTACAAATCTAACCCAGCTTTCCTTACAGCTTCTCAGAAAAAGACTTAAAAAAAAAAAGAAAAAAAAAAGAAAAAAAAGAAGTAAATGTTGGGTTACATGCAGGCCTACAAGGTCAAGGTGAAAATGGTGGTGGTGGTGGACACTTAATTTTGTGACAAAGATGAAAAAAAAAGAAATGTTGTTTGATCCACATTGAAGGGGTTTTGACTGCTGTACCGCAAAATGTCATTTGTTTCACTGTGCTTCGATCAATAATCTAACAGCAGCCTGCTTCTCTCGCTTAGAAAGCTGTCTCACAGTCAGCAGTTAATGAGCTAGTACCAGAAAAAAAAGTAACGAGTCCTGCCTTGTTATGTCCAGAAAAGGCTTGCATGTTGGTTTTCAGTCAAATCACCAAGAACTGACTTTGGAGAGACAAATTAAAAAGAAAAGTTAAGTTTCTAGTAGTTCTCAGCTGGTTTGTATGATTTTTCAAATTCTTAAAGCTTCATAAACACATGCAATAGCACAAATGGAAAACTATAGCTGTGAAAAGATGGTGTTTTCCAGTTCATTACACAAAGATTACATTTTCCTTCCCTTCAGAGAAGCTAAGTATCGATCAGCATTCACAACAGAGAGGAGGAAAGCATTCACTTACTGATTTTTAGTGTCCTAAAAAGAAGGATTTACTGGTGCTGAACTGGAACAGTAGTGGTGCAGCTGAGTAGTGTGGAGAGAGTCGCCTGCCTTGCTGCTGTGGAGCTGTCTGTCCTGCCTGAAGTCTTTGGAAAGCTGCTTCCAACATAAAACACTTAGCATCTGTAAAGGGAGAGCAGAACATCTATCAAACATGGAAAGATCAAAAACTGTGACTCCCTGCGGAGTAACTGTTGGGAGGGAAACAGCTGAATAATGTTGAACATATTCAGATCTCTGACTTCACCTAATGCACACTGTGAAGGCTGTGTTAGTAGTCAAACGATGATTCATTTTTATGGATGTGGAAAGGCTTTTGTGCTTTTGCCTTAAAAGACACTGCTCTGTTATTTGTTTGAGAGGCAATGCCAGTTGCTTCTGCCTTCTCTTAGCCAAATATAAGCATAAATATTAATCTGGAGTGTGATTTGGTTTTCCTGAAAAAGAGGGCCTAGCCATGGAATGGCTTGAGAGGTGGCTTGGTGCTTGGTACACTGAAAAGGCTTGAGAGCTGGCAAGGGCATTTAAAAACTCAACTTTTTGAAAAAACTCAGTTTCCCTAAACCTCAGTGATAATTTGTCCCTTCATGGATATCAAGAGTATCCACTGGATATACTAATACTCAGGAGTCAGGAACCACCATGGCTTTAAGGACAAAATCGCTGAAACAGCTCACTTCCTCACTTTGAAAGGCTCCTCACCCAAATCTCTAAAAAAGACTTTAAACTTCAGCCCATCTGCTTCTAAAGGTTTGGGTACATGAAAACTTCCATGGCCGCCGTTCCTCACTGCCCAGCCTTAGGAACTTGGCAGAGTCAAGAGAGGAGCACAGCAATGGCAGGAGCTGCCTCTGCAGCATCCTTTGCTCATAGGAGAATGCCAGAAGGTTAGATGCTTCTGTCAGATCTCGTGCTGCAGGCAGCACAAAGAGATATTCTGTGCTATGTGAAAAGTCAAACTCCTTCCTCTTCCTCAGCCAATTTCCTCAAATTTGGTTGCCCTTTTGCTCCCAGCAGGACCTTTTTCAGCTTTAGCAGGTGGTGATGAGTAGAAAATGCAGGTGATATTTCCTTGAACAATTCTTGGCAGGAGTAGACCTATCCTAATAGTAAGTGCAAATATTTTTAAAGTGCTACACATTGAATGCTGTTACATGGTATATGTGCTTGACATACGATGTGGCTTTTCTTACAATGGTTCTGTTCCAGCTTGAAAAGCATGTTGGTGCCTCTAAACAAGTCAGAAGACACTTAATTAACAAAGTGTCTTCCACAGTTATTTTTTCGAGGAGTAAAGTATTGTCTCAGAAGCATCAAACTCAGTGGTAAAAATATCCATGAAGTGCTAATTTTTCCTCTGGGAATAGAATGATTGGGGATGAGCAGACAGCATCAAAACAAAAAGAAATCTCATACATGTGGTTGCTGTTTTATGGAAATGACTTTCCCTTTTCCAAAAGTCTTCCACGGGGAGATGGAAGGTGCAAAACAGCTTGACAACATAGCATGTGAATGCATGTCTCTAACATAAGCACAGCTAATATTTTCTGTTAATGCTGTGTAGCACTCTCTGGGCAGCAATCAGTTCCATTTGAATAGGATGAATATGAAAGTAATAATGTTTCAAATTTCACTCTTGTACATATTGTCAGGGGAAAGAATGTTGATAATTTTTTTCAATAAGCTGATAGTGAAATAAAATGAAAGTGTAATTCCTGTGACACAGCTAGTGCTCTTTTTAATTCTGCACTTTCTGAATTTTTCAGGGTTTTGAAGGTATTCCTGTCCCGAACTGCTCAGCGTATTCCATACATGACAGGTGGGCGAGTGATGAGGATGCTGGCTGTTATTCTTCTGATAGTCTTTTGGTTTCTTGTTGGCTGGACTTCTGCAATAACCCAAAATTTGGAGAGAAACATTCCACTCATTGGCCAAGGGCAAACATCTGACCATTTAATCTTCAATATGTGCCTCATAGACCGCTGGGATTACATGATGGCTGTTGGTATGTTCTTTTTCTAGCTTATCTTTTAATTTGTAAAATAAAGCTTGGTTACCTTTGCATTTTTCTTCTTTTTGGGTATGTTAAAGTTTTGTCAGACTGCGTAACATCATATGAAAAGCTTCTAGGGGAATGGAATATTGGCATATATGGTTTTTTAAATGGGCTGAGAAGTAAAACATATTTCAAATATCCTGAGACTTTTATGACTTTCAAAGGTTTGTAACTTGGATTGTAGTAACAAAATGATGGGTGCTCAAGAAATTTTGTCTTTGAAGACAGAAGATATCATGCTCTTCTACTCTATTAAGAGAGAGAAAGTGTGGCAGAAGGTTTTTGCAGTAGAGGCAAAGCCAGCTCTCAAGCCTGAACAAAATTCATCTGAATTTCCTATGTTCTATTATTTTGCCTTCTTACTCAAACTACCTTATAAACAGAGTTACGTTTGTGCAAGTCATCAGTAAACTGTGCAGCCACCTTATTGGTACCAGGAGATGTATGTCTACAAGTCTGTACTAACATGTGTGTGTCTATATGTATATATATGTGTGTGCGTGGGTGTGTGTGCGTGTGTATGCACTTAAAGATTTTTATTGTTAATAGCAGTCTGAAAAGCTTACAGACCATAGGAACAAGTTCCAAAGTTAGATACTTTATCCCAGAGATATGTCAGAAGAAATACCCATAATGCAGAACCCCTTTTATTCCTATAATTCTCCTGGGAGAAGCCTTACAAAAGATTCTATGTGATAAATTAATTGATAATTATGATATTAGATGTAAAATGCTAAAATAAAAATGCTAGATGATAATTTATGAAAGGCTTGTTTTTTCCATTTAATTTAGTAAGGCACAGTATTTTATATAAAACTAGGGAGTGTTTTGGAATATATTCCATCACATGTAGCCCTTGCTGGAATACCTCCCTCTTTCACTTGGCTGTCAATGCTTCACAGAAATGTGGAGAGGGAATTTTCAAGGTCGCAGATTAATGAAGTGAGAATTAACAAGGCTCTGTTAGAAAGTCATAATGAGATGAATCCTTTATGATACCAGAGATTATTGGAGTTAGGATTTATGGAGCATTTTCCATACTAATCATGCTACTTAGGCTCTATCTCCGGAGACTTTTATTGCAGTGAATGTTTTATATTTACATTTCCATTAAGTTTAAGAGGATGCTCTCTGTGAGAGAAGTAGGAACTTAGACACAAAGGTTGTCACTATTTCTAGCATTGCCCCTGTACTCTGTGATATGCTGATGAGAAAAATTAGCATTCCGTAAATCTTATTTTATCTTCATAATGTAATGTAGTTAGTATGTATTTTCCGTGAGGTTGGGTAGCTTATTTGTCACTTCCCTAGATTCTTTTATTTCCTTTGTGTTCGTTTCTGCATCACTTTCAAGGTTGGGGCATCTGTCTCATTGACAAGCTATGGCATAGTTGACAATCTGAGATTTTGGAGAAAGACCTGAGGGCTTGAAAACGCTCACGCACAAAGCCTTTTTCCTATGACCTGAATAAATTCTCTACCTCTACCTGTCACAGCCAGATTCCAAGTTAGGAAAAAAAAAACGCAAAACCCAAGCTATAAACTTCTGGTACCTAAGGGTTCCCAGTGTCACAAATCAAACTATTGTTCTTTATCCTGAGGGAAAAATCCTGTAACTGAAACAGATGTCACCACAGGATTTAAAAGAACTTCCCAGGAACTGGAAAAAAACCAACAAAATAGTAAGTTTAATGAACAAAGCCCCAGGCAGGAGAGAAAGGCAGGAAGAGAGATAAACATGCATGCACAAACGCAAATAAAAAGCAGAGGTGAAATCTTGGCTGGTGGATGTTTCTGACTTCAGCAGGGCCAGGGTTTCACCTAGTGTGGGTAGGATTTGAAGTTTAGTTTTTATAATACCCATATGCATTCTGTGTGTGTTTTTCAGTGGTTTTTTTTTTAAACCAGAAGCGAATGACAGGTATTAACCAAGTGCAGGGAGGTATTTTTCCCCAGCACCTGGTTGGTTCCTGGCTGGCAGGAGCTGGGCTGCTCCCGTGCAGCTGGGTTGAGCTGCTGCCATAGCCCACTCTTTGGAGGGTCATGTTTTGGGTCCTGTGCATCACAAGGATTTCAAACATGAGGCTGTGTCATGATTACTGCATGACCTCAGCCAGGAAAAGGAACAAAGTAAGTATTTCAGGCTGTTCCCAAAAGAACTCTCTCCCACTCTTCATTTGTTGATATTTAACGTATATAAACTCTGCATCTAAAGAGGGTATGAGTTGCTAGGACAGGCTCTGACAGATTGGGTGTTAAGACTGCCTGTACAGTTTTGAGCTAGGGCATTGTAATACAGCCTTACAAGGCCCTTTATTAAATTTTCTACAGGGCCTCTGCTGCATTCAGCAAATGAGTGATTATTATTTCTTTTTGTTATCCCCATTCGATGTGGCCCTATGCCATAATCGGGGTGTGTTGTTCAGAGCATGCAAGGAATAAAGAACTATTCATTTCCAAATGGGCATTTTTAAGCCGTGTTCTCCTTAGCATTGATGTACAAAGATTAAAGCCAAAATTGTCAACAGTAGCTATCCATTCTGAGTGTCTGCCTTGAGACATCTAGGGATTGGTTTTTGAGTAATGTTTATAGCCTCTGTGTGGAAGGCACAACCAGGAGGCATTTGTTAGATCTGTTTTCAGTTCTCACATTAGATACTCAGAAAATGTGTAACGTAAAAATAGTGATCACTTGTGAAAAGCTTACTCTAAATGATAAGACCAGGACTATATGAAATGTTTGCAGCAGAAATAGGAAAAGAATCCTTTTTTACAAAAAAGCTCTATCCCTTTCTTGTTTGTAACCCACTGCTCCCACCACCATGTACGTCTCTTACAATGTCCATATCGCCAACACTATGTGCGGTTTATGTCCCTCATGTCTAGGATATGGCAAATCTGGAAAAGATATAGGGAAAAGCAACAAAGATGATGAATGGTGCAGAATGTCTTCTCTATGAAAAGAGACTAAATCAAGTGGGACAATTCACTCATCTCAGATTAGCTGTTTCTTCCAATTTAATTTAAAATAAAACATTCTCAAGGATGACAGAGAATGGAACTTTTAAAAAAACAGATTTTTTTTTATTTTTTTTTTAAACTATGACCATCAACATTTTTCTGTTTTCCTTTCTCAAAAATAGCTGGAACCCCTAAGCTGAGCAGTTTGGGTTGCATTACACCCTGCAGTAATGTTGCTTTTTCTTGGTATCTGCTACATCACAGGTGAAATCCCATAGCCTTTATTTAGGCACCACATCTACACAGTATTTCTGCTAAGGAAACCATATTTGTGTTACCTTAGCCGCATGTTTGGTAAATACCATATTCAGATTCTTCTGCAAGCCACCCGTGGGAGGAGATGGCTTTGTGAGAGGCTAGAAGATGCTCTGACTTCCTCTTGTCTTTCCACCACTCTTTTTTGAATCCACTTCTTGGTACCTTGGATACCATTGGCATTTGCTTGTATCCTCTTTAAGATGTGAGAGAAGAGGTTCTACACTCTGCCTGCTTTCTGCTGCTGGTGGTAGATCCCTCTGATTCTGTTGTCCCTCTTTCATCTGCACACAAGTGAAGAGGATGATGGGGCACATGGAAACAAGAGAGTGGCCAACTGGCTTTAATAACAGTGGGCTATGGAAGGAATGAGGCAGAACAGCACATCTGTGTAGAGGAAGGAACAAAATGCTTGAGTATAAGGGCTAAGACAAGTGCAGAAATGAGGGGAGTTCCTGGAGGTTGTAGACCTGAGTGCTGGCATACATTTCGTGCAAGGAGACTCCTAGGCACGTTGCTTGCACTTGAGTCAGAGGACATGTGTCCCTTGCCAGCAAAAGCCATCTCTAAGTCACCCTCAAGCCATGGGGCCCATAGACAGTGACTCAACATGTCCCTTGCATTACTTCAAGTGGACCTGCAGCGCAGACTTGTGGCTCTGTGGGGGACGGAGCGTGCTGTAACCCCCACCAGCCCATGGACCCCTGCTCTTCTTTTAGCCTTGCACAGCTGTGGGCCAAGTCAGTTCTGGTAAAAAAGCAAGTCAGGATTTAGCACCATTAATTCTTACTCCACACAGTCTCTGTACTGCTGTGCCTACCTGATTAAAATGATGCTGAGATATGGTGAGAGGGACAGATAAACTTCTATTAATTTATAATTTGTGAGGAATAACCCAACACTAAAGGCTTAGATCTGTAAGTCTTCCCTTTGAAGAAAAAACCTCTCCTGTGATAACTCTCCAGGTGGGAGATTGCACGCAGTGAGGCAGAAAGAGACTGCACTGGCTTGCAACACAGGAGCAGGCGAGGACACAATTTTTTTCCTGTTTTAAAATGGTGTGCACTTGGCTCCAGCTGGCACCCTAAGTGAACAAACGGATGGAAAAGCCATGCTTCCAGATCCATGGCCAGCTTCATTGCAGTAGAGCAGATTAAAAACGTAGACATTAGTCTGACTAAATGAAGTGCGATGGAGAAGTAGATGAGTTGTTGTAGCTGTGTTATGGATGTAAGTAGAGTTGTAATCAGTAATTTGTGCCGAAAACCTGAGGAAAAATGGCATAACTGTTGGAAGAGTACTGGTTTGCCAACAGGGCAGAGTTCAGAATACCAAGTGAACTTAGTCAAGTTGCAGCTGCAATGGACTCTTTCTTATTAGTATTTAGGAAAGGATGCAGAGCACAAAACCACCTCTGGAGAGCAGTGGCCTGTTCTTGGCCTACGATGGTGCTTTTTAAGCAAGTGAGTGTGGACAGACATAGAAGATCACAGTGTCATGAAAATGGGCTTTAATCCTTCAGGGGTGTCTCTTTTTGCAAGTAGCTTTTGGACAGCAGAATGCAAGCAATCACAGAGTTGGGGATCCTGGCTTGAGGAAGCTCCTTTCAGCAACTCTATCCCACATCTATCTCTACCGAGAGGCTGGCCTAAGGAAGCACAAGAGAAAGGCAT